TATCGATTCCTTGTAAAGGGTGATGACACAATCAACAGAAAAAAGGTGAAGGGGGAAAAAATGAAAGAAAATAGAAAAGGCATCTTTTTCTTTCATAACCACTGCATCCACTCAAAAATCTCTGAAGGTGGATGGCTAGTAGCTTCAGCTTGAAAGCAGTTACTGTAATGCACTTCTCAAGATAAATTTGTGGATTAAAGTTATCTGGTTTATGCAAATGAGATGGATTCTAGTACGTGACCCAAGATTAACCATTATGGTTTTTCACACAGTATCTTAGATCTTTGCTATTTAATTTTTGTATTTTATGTGACTGAAAACAACGGAAGTATTTCTTAGAACTTCCTGAACATATGCAAAACATATACCATTAAAAAAAAAACAACTTACCTTCTTTTGTTGATTCCTCCTTTGATTGGCTTAGTGTTAGCAACCTGTTACATTTTTCCAGCTGCAGAACCATTAGGTTATTTGCTTCATTAATTTCTGATATTTTCTGGAAAATTGAAAGAAGACTAAAGCTGTATAAATATCTTTTGATTTAAGTTTAAATTTTAAGTTTTAAATTGATAGTAAATTTAGCAATTTCACAACACCGCAGCCACAAATCCATATTATTTGCCATTCTGGAAATTCCAGTTTAGAGAATGATGTTAGATTTGAGAGCCTGTGCTACTGCAAGTTTGTGCTGCAGAATTATGAATGGTGACTTACATAACGAGTCATAAACTCGTTTCGTCTCAGTTTTGTAGTCCACAGTCTGGATCAATCCTCAGTAAGGTTCTTCCTAGTGCTTTGCATGAGGCTGTCAATGCCCCCACTGAGGGCCAACATGAGTAATGGGTGTGAATAGGAATTGGTATAACCTTTTTTCCACAAGAAATGCTAAATTTATTTCAGGTGCCCCTTTTGTGGTATCTCTGTTATGGATTTACTGACCAGGAAGTCACCAGAGGGCTGGCCAGTGTGGGTCTAACGAGAAATACAGTAACGATTTTCCTCAGTGGATCAACCTTTTAAGAACTGACATATACATAAAATAAAGAGAGCTCAGTGCATATGGAATATAAGAACAGACGCTCTCGCTATGATGATTTTCTAGAACAAGAAATAACTTCTGACAGGATAGTCCAGGAAAGCTGTGTAATACTGTTACCTCCAACAGCAGCTTCTGACACAAAGGGGCACTTCCATGCTTTTCCTGAGAAGCCAAAATCGGCCTCTGCACCATTAAAATTCTAGCCCAGGAACAAAGGCTTCTCAGACTCCACAGATGTCACTCATATCACTCTGAGACATGGTCAATACACTTTCGAAACCAAATTGGTATTGCAAGGCATGTTAATAAGAATAAGCTGATACCACTTAGAAGAATTTTTCCATTGAAAAACATTAAAATGCAACAGAATATTTATAGATAGAGGTTTCAATATTTCCTACCTTTTGCACTTACCTTTTCTATCTCTGAGAAGTTATCTAAAAGTGTGTCAAGGTTCACCACACTGATTTTCTTCATAGTTTCTTCACGGCTGCGATTAATTTATCTGTTTATGGAACACATGTGTGTCATCACAGTGATGACTGTACATATGAAAAATAGATCTATGAATTCATACATTTATCACTCATACAATATCAAAAGTTTTCATATGCACAAACTGAAGCAGAACAAAGAAACATTTTTAAAAAAAATGAAACTGTTTTTGCATGTGAAGTTAAACTTCTATCTACCTAAGATCTTGCATTTCTAGGAAACAAAGCTAATGTCAGAAAGCCCAGGTAAAATGTATCACACTTGTAGATGATATAATTGAATTTGGAAATTTTTGTTGCAATTAAAAAAACCCCTTAATCCACTTCCATATACACAATAATGCAAGTTTACCTAAATATATTAATGGTCTGTACACAGGATACCTTTAAAACATGTAACCAATTTCCCTTTAGATGTGCTGCTAAAACAGACTGATCTTCTTTGTCCTCACTTTAAGGAGTAGGCAATTCAGTTAACTGAAACAATTACTCATTCTCTGCTGTGTGTATTTTAGAGGCAACAGATGAAATTTTGTTCAGTTTGAATAACTTACAGAAATGTTACTGAAGTGAAAGGGGTTTTACCAGGCACACATCAATGCAGAATCTACACAGACCTTTCACCTGTGTGGATGCTCTAGTACTTAACTACTCAGACTTCAAGTTACTTACACATTTTCGTATTAAGAATATGCATTAATGTCAGTGATGAGGTACTGCAGCAGATAAACCTTACCCTAAGAGTGAAAAGACAGTATTCTGAAAAACACCCGTGTGATTCCATATTATTAACACAGTTCCTATTTTTAGCAGAAATTCTACTTACAGAATCTTCAACATACATTCGTAGATCTGAAAGACACAATATGAATGCTTCTAAAAATATTGAAACTACTTCTGAACATCAGGCTCCATTAAAAATAAATTCCAATACCAGGTAAGACACGTATTCCAGACAAAATCACTTCTATGTGGTAATATATGAAATGGCTTTTGACAAACAACAAGAAATTCCGATGAGAGAGATGAACCAGAAGTTAGAATGTGTGCAGTACCCTGAAACTGAAATAACTGAAAACTGGAAATACCGAGGAAAAGAAACAATCTAGGAGGTTCTTAGTGTGTGTGTGTGTAAGGTAACTTTCTCACACAGCTGGTGAGTGAGACAACGAGGGAAGGCCTGATGGACCTGTTTGTGAACACAAAAAGATTTGTGGGTGACATGAGGGTTGGAGGCCATCTTGGGCATAGTGATCATGAGATGACAGAGCTTTTGATTCCTGGAGAAGTAATGAGTGGGGTCACTAAAACTGCCACTTTTGACTTCCAAAGGGCAGACTTGGACCTGTTTAGGAGCCTGGTTGACAGAGTCCCTTGGGAGACAGTCCTGAAGGACAAAGGAGTCCAGGAAGACTGGACATTCTTCCAGAAGGGAATCTTGAAGGCGGAGCATCAGGCCATCCCCATGTGCCAGAAGAGCAGTCTGGCTGAACATAGAGCTTTGTCTGGAAGTCAGGAACAAAAGGAAAGCAGACGGACTACACACGAAGGGGCAGGCCACTCAGGAAGACTGCAGAGATTTCGTGAGGCCACACAAGGCTAAAAATTAGAAAGGCCAAAGTCTAGCTAGAACTGGACTGCTACTGCAACACAAGACAATAGAAAAAGGCTGCAAGGAGGATCTGGGGGACTATTGGCCTGTCAGTCTGACCTGAGTGCCAGGGAATGTCATGGAGTAGATCATCTTGAGTGTCATCATGAGACACACAGAGGACAAGCAGGTGCATCAGGCCAAATCAGCATGGGTTTGTGAAAGGCAGGTCCTGCCTGACTAGCCTGGGCTCCTCCTGTGACATGGTGGCCTGCCTAGCGGATGAGGGAAAGGCTGTGGATGTTGTCTACCTGGACTTCAGTAAAGCCTTTGACACCATTTCCCACAACAGCCTCCTGGAGACACTGGCTGGTCATGGCTTGGACTTGCTTCACTGCATAAATAATGGGCTGGATGGCTGGGCCCAGAGAGTAGTGATCAATGGAGTTAAATCCAGCTGGCAGCACACAAGTGGTGTTCCCCAGGGCTCAGAGTAGTGGGGCCAGTTCTCTTTGTTATCTTCACCAATGATCTAAATTTTGACTGAGGATGGGAGTTTAGGGAGCTGCCATGTTGTGTGCTGTTTTGTGTGTTTCCATATTCCATAGCATCATTTTTTTTCCCTCAGAAGACAGGATGTGCTTAGCACTTGGCAGCATTAGGCAATGATGCTACTGGGAATAAAACTTTTGCTGAACTGAAACAGTAATTTAAAAATAATGTTGTATTATGAATGCATTTTTTTCCAGGAGGAAAATCCATCACTTTTATTTTTGTGTTATTATTATACATGCATTCCAAAGGCATCTTTGTTAAGCCTCTCACCCCTGTTTTGAACTAAGGTATTTGCTTCACTGTGGGGAAAGTTAAAGATTTAAAATGTTTTTTTGACTGTCATAAAAGTGACATCTTTATTTCATTTTTCTTTAACCCCTTGCCATCTGTGTTCTCTCAGTATGCTTTAAATGTTGTAGCTGGTGATCCGATTTTGGAATTTAAGGTTTTGCATTGTACAACAGTGAAACCTGTATTCATAACCAAAATAAAATGAGTTCGTATTAACTGTTAACTGCATATCTCAAATGAATGTAGTAATTATTCAATCGCAGGCACTTCAAATAGCGTCATCATTTTCCCGAACTCCGCCCTTCACGGCAGGCCCCCGACACCTGCACCGACGATAAC